CCGGGTACTCCGGTTTCCTCCTGCCTCTAAAACTGGACTTTCTTCCTAACTCCGTAATGTGTTACTGATTAATAAAGTGTATAAGTAAACGTACAGTTATTGGCGCAAATAGCCTGAGTTGCTGCAAGCGCCATTAAAACAAAACAGCAAGAAGTCTGAAAACAGCTGAATAATAAGCAATCCAGCTTTGGAAAGAGAACATGAAATGAACTGCTTGAGGAGGGGAGAGACTGGGTTAGAAGAGGGTTGTGTTCATAACGGTGGCCATGACACAACCATAACACCTGTCATTAATTGGTCGTAAAAACAGCAAGCTCCTGTTTTATGAATTCTCTAAATATGTTCCTGGTGCGCTCAATATGAGACGTGCTATTGAATAAAAACACGAGGGAGTCGCTGAAGGCAAACCGTTGCGGAAGTGAAAAAGAAAAGTGACAATGGCTGTGGGAAATACTTACAGGGTTCATAATGTCAAGACCCCCCCTCCAAACTTCAAAGAGTATGAATTAACCCTAAAAGTACATAGAACTAAACATTACTGAAGTATACAGCGCAGTCGCTTGTAAGAGGACATGACCTCATTGTTCTCAGAAGCCATAAAATACAATAGATAAGACAATGTACCATACAGTGCTGCGGCACTATGAATGCATGGCTTTATTGTCTGTATGAATAACAATGAAAAAAGCCCTAGCCAGAAGCAGTGATTTGTAGCTCTTGGGCCTTACAGGCTCAGACTATTATGTAGTATTTTGTAGTACCGAGTCCTGTAAGCCATATGATGTGCAGGACCGTTAGGCCTAATGACTTTTATAAGTTATTTTATAATAACTGCCCGTGGTTGGCAGATTGGTGTGCTTAATGCAAAACACTAAAACGTGTCTTGAAAACTCAACACAATTATCAAATATGTCAAATACAAGATGTAAGAAATAAAAATTTAATGACTTTTAATGCCTTTATTCACATTTCCACAAACATTTTATGACTTTTCCAGGAATTTCATGACCACAATAAAATGGAAAGATTTTTAAGGAATTTAATGACCACTGTGTACCATGTACAAACTCTTGCTGCAATTTTCAAGATGTATTTTTGCGTTGGGGAGATGTTAATTATATATAACGGTTTGCCCGTACCCAACGTATATTATCTTGCTGCAATGATTTACACAGCCAGTGGATAGCTGGGTTGATTTCAGTAAGGGTTAAGTGTTTTTTGTGACCATGTAACAAAATGTTTCTTGTTGTTTTTACATGCTACTGATCATAAATCGTGTCGAATGCTCCATGCGAGGACATAATTGTTTGACCATTTCAGTCTCTGATGGAACTTCTAGATTGTATTCACCATTAGTAACAATGAAAGGCAGAGTTCTTGCATGGTACATTACTTGCTTAACGTTTTTCACAAACAACGTTTTCTACATGTATGTGTACAAACATGTCTTTCATTTTATTTTGGCAAAAGTCTTGCACAGCTACAAAAGTCTACTATATGTAACTGTGTAGTCTACAAGATGTTTTTCCCAGAAATTTGAACCATGGTACCGATGTCAATAGTCTAACCACCCACAAAACTACACCGAGAGCTGAGTTGTTTTGCTCAAAGTGGAAAATTTATATACAACCACAGATAGTCTCTGGTATGAGACGATAAACGATAAACCACTAGCAAGAGTTACACTTAAAAGATAACAGTAATCGTTTAGGTTTACACTGCCTGTGTCACGTAGATGCCTCAAAAACAAGATCAAGGGCTTTGATGTTCTCATCCTTTTTCACATATCGCAGCACGTTGCGTCTTAGTCTGTGCCCTGGGGACGCATCACGCCGATCGGAGACTTTTCATTGGTAAGGTTGGGGGGGGGGGAAAAAGTGGGATCTATACAGGATCAGTGTCAGAGAAGGACAAGTGAATGGAAACCGAGGATGCCATCTCTTGTAAGGAGTTGTAACGGCACTCGTGTCGAAACAATAATGTTTGCGCGTTGAGGCTATGAGGGTAGTTAGATGCAAGACTTGCTAATGTCAGATGTGATAGCGGTGGGTTGAACGCGCTTCGCTTTCTTCCATGTACAGTGAACTTAACCGATGGGTCATTCAGTGCAAATTCAAAGACCCTTCCACGCGACCCAATTCAGATTTGCCCGAAAACTTCCTGAAATTATCTTTACATCCCAAATAAAAGAAAACAGAGTTTTAGCATTCTCGTACAGACTGATTTTTACAGCATTCTTGTTGGATAATTTATAAAAGCTGGGTCAAATCTCATGCTGTGTACACAAAGCATAATGCATAATAAGCTTGATCAGTCTTATGTGTAAGCATTTGTTTAACCCTAACCCTACATAATACTACAAATTACTACTTGTAGTAAAATGTAGTAATCAGTGCTGTCGCTAGTAAGAGGACATGACTTTATTGTTCTGTGAAGCCGTAAGATACAATAGATAAGACAATTTTCCATACAGTGCTGTGGCACTATGAATGCATGGCTTTATTGTTCTCTGTACAAGTAACAATGGAAGTAACCTAGCCAGAAGTAGTAATCTGTAGTGCTAGGTCCTTCAGGCTCAGACTATTACTGTAGTACTTTGTAGTGTAAGCCAAACAATATGCTTGGCAGTTAGGGTTAAGATCAGCTCAGGAGAATGGATGCTGATATTGCCCCTCACCATTCACCAAGGCATTATCGGCAGCCATTCACCTATTAGGTACTCCCATTCATAAATACCTTGTGAGTCGGAAAGTCAAAACAAGTTCCCAAATTTGTGAATTTTCAATGATTTTATTCAATTTTAATTCATTGTTTTCCAACCTCTCTATGGATGTTACGGTGTGTGCCTCTCGCTGTTTTGCAAGCAGTTGTAAACAACCTCCTTACGCGGGGACTGGTGCACGTTTCCAGTGTACTGCATGAGGTGGAACACAGCTGGTCGGCGCTTTATCAAGTGTTTAACACGTTGAATACCGCGCAGAATTTCAAACGGATATTCCGATTCGCCAAGCACTGTACGCATGCGCGCATATTTAATAGGTGCTGGTACCTTCCAGGTGCCTATTTGAACATGTCAGGGATGAATGTCCTCAACACTGCCAGCAGCGTATTTGTTGAGTTCTTTGGTGATGCTGGCGTATTCAATTTACAACACAAAAGCCTTTCATTTCACATGAGTATACTCCTAGTGGGAATCCGGTACGCCTGTGACTACGACTATATTCATACATGTAGTTGGCAGTCAACTTGTTAAAACTGGCCATGTGCCGGGCTTTCCACTGACAGAAATGGCTAAACAGACTTTACGTGATTTATAGCATACACAAAATGCAGAATTCCGAGGATGACATCCACACTAAAATTTCATACCAGTTCTGACAAATGGACTGCAGATAATGCTCTTGCAATACAAACTATTACGCACATATAACACGTTCCCCTTATGCAGTAAGTTGGTAACATTAGCTCAGTAAGAGCAGATTGTGACGGGAGGGGGAAAGCTTATGGAAACATGACGAGACAGATGTCTGTGATGATGCAAAGGAAAAGGGTATTGTAAACACTTCAGATTAGAGTCTCCAACGAGCTGAAGAGGTTGTTTATCCTTTGCAAAGGCCAAGCACAGGGAAGGAAGAGAGTCAAATATCAAACATCGAGTTATAAAATGTCTTGGTGCCGTGAACTGTTAAAGGCTTGAAGGTGAAATATGCACAGTTCATAAATCTTTTTTCCTTGATGTTTGCCTGCATAGCAACATGTACCGGTAATCCGTGGGGAAAACAGACCCACTGAGTGTAAGGAATATTGCAAGTGTGAAAGCCTACCGCTGAGTAGATGCCGGTCTGTGAAGTCCTTAACAGACACGTAGGCGGTCTTGTCACGGACTCCACTACAGTTGGTGGAGGCCTTGTGCCTCTTTACACAGTGAAGGCTGCAGAGACAATAAAGTTGGAGACAGAAGAGTAAATCTTTGGGCAAGTGCGAGCGGCCGCTATGGTTAACTGTAGCTCAGGCAACACCAACCAATGATGGATGGTTTGGTTTGAATCTAGTCTGTTGTACCGAATCTCGACCCAAAAAAAAAAACAAAAGCAAGATACATGTACACGCATATGCAAATCTGTGTCTTGTTTTACCTTGATGGGATTCAAGACAGGGGCCTGTCCCCTCGTTATAGAAGGAAACTGTAAGTCCAACTGGTGCTTAACCACTTCCTGTTATCAACGTTGATGATGCTGGGGCCGGATATTTATCATTTTTTTCTGTTTTCAAAATTCTTTAAAAATTCCTTTCTTCATTTACTGCACACTTATACCCACACGAAGAATTGTCTGGTCTCCACTCTAGCCTGACAGATAAAATCTATTGATGCCCGAGTATTTCAGCCAGACCTGCAGCCTTGTAAAAAGAAAAAATTTTCTTTGGTTCACAAACCTGGCTAAGTCGCTGCTGACCTCTTTTCAATAGGGGCCAGATTAGCGTACAGCGGTGCTGTGTGGCTCATCGCTGCGGTGGTGGAGCACTTTTGTCCCCGGTGGTAATCCGCTCGCTCTAAATGCCCCAAACCGTGGTATACTGTTTCAAAACAAGGCTGGATTATCTCCACTTTTGAGAGTGAAAAAATGTCGGTAATGCCCAGCAGCCTGGTCTTTTGTTACAAGTCCCTGTTCCCTTTGTCCGAGTTCGGAGACCCCGGCCACGCATACGTGTCCGGATCCAGAATTCCCGACAGGAAGTGGTTAACCCTAATTGGTGATTATTCCCTTGGTCCCGGCAAGATCACAAATCATAGGTTTAATAAAAAAAATTGAAGGAACTGTACATGTAAGTAAAATTTCGACATTACTATTGGCCATGTTCATCCCACTCTTGGATCCTGTGCAAATTTATTGCACTCCATCCTGAGTTGATTTGACTTTGAATGAAATCCACTTGTACGATAATCAACTCAAGAGGGAATACAATAAATTTGTGCAGGAATCAAGACTGTGCATCCCCTACATTTAAGATTACTTGTAACATCATAAAATCCGCTTTTAGAATGTCATTTTGTCACCAAACAGTTTATCTTTTCCTCTTATTGTATTAATTTTTCATCTTGGAATATTAAGATGTGAAAATAATACTCACTAATCAATTGAATATCCAAATATTTCAATAGACGGCAAAGTCTGAGCTGTTGTAGGAAGGTAAGGTTTTCGTAAATTTGAATTTTTCTTTCAAAATTCTTAGGGAAAAAACTCTACTAATGATAAAACAAACACATGCTTGGCAAATTGAATCAGATTGACAGTTTGAAAGTTGAATAGCACATTGTCAAGTTGAATTTGACTGCGTTTATGATACAGACCAGTCGGTGGGGTGGCGTCGGGGGGGGGAGAACACTAAAATGGCACCAAAAAAGTTGATATAGCCAAAAATAATATTCATTCATCAAATGTAGCCTACCTGCACGTCTTTACGCTGCATCGTGGACATGTATACTTGGTTTTAACCTGCTCACAGATCTCACAGCTGTATATCGATACAGAGAAGAGAGCTTATGAGGAACCGAGTTATTTTGCGTTAATACCTATACTCTATATTGTAACGACATGACATAACACAAAATCAGTTGCAGACTTGTTTGGGTGGGTGCAATCGGTCGATCTGCTTGATCACTCAATCTTTGTGCTATCTGTTAATCTTGTTGCACCATTTGTCGATAATTTTATAAACAGCAACAGCGGTTCTGGAAGACTGTTTCAAAGTAAAGTCAGAGATTACATACAAAACCAACTCATCGCAATTGTGTTTTCATGCTGAACAACCAATTGCTCCCAACAGAAACATGACTGAGACATGCTAACATTATTTTTAAAAGTTTGTGAGATGTACAGTACCTGATACAGATTAAAAGCAAACGAAAGTCAATGGTCATGTTACGCCCAAATTATGGCCACAACCCCAACTGTAGGTGGGCCTGTCCTAACTACATACATGTACATGTATAGTCGGGCCGGTCCCCACTGTAGTTGGGACCACCGAAACTATACTGGTAGTTGGGACCGAGGCCATAGTTTAGGCGTAACAGTCATATTAACTGTCATTCAGTGGTGCTAATATTATATTCCATCCATACAGTATTCTGTGACAACTCTTCATCTGGTTATATCTTTTGGGTTTAAACTTTGAAAAGGCAGAATAATTCTGGAGGCCTCTACAGCACTACAAAAGACTTATATTGTAGAAATGAAGCCATGTTTTACTTGAGGTATGTTGATGTCTGTGGACAAAATATAAATCAGAGGCGATGCACGTTTTACATCCAACCAAAACCATAATTGATACAGTGTATTTGTCTCGCGGCAATCACGGCAGTGCAACCATATACCACTTGATCCGTTATGTAAGTGTGAGGTCATGTGTGATGTTGGCATTGAGCAATCATATTCATGAAGCAAACATAGGGCCGAGTGTTCGCACTGAGCCATGGTTGTGGAACAAGCTTGACAGGTGTAGTGGGTTATAATTGACAAATAATTTGTGCACACAAATTGTTGCCAGCCCCAGAAAATACCCCTTTTTCTCTGGTTTAGCTGAATTTTAGGTATACGCCTTGCATCATTTGCTTCAATCCCTCATGAATGTTCGCTCAATTACTTTTAATCATGGACCTGGTGGGTACGGGTGTTATTAACTTGACACCTTGATGGGGGGGGAGTATACTCAGTGATGCAAGGAAAACAAGATGCAATCCTCCGCCCCCAAAAACGGTTGAAGCGAAATGCACAGCAAGCTTAGCCATTGGCTGGCCCGACGCATGCGCCATGTGATAAACATGGACAGTAAGAACGACGCGGCCATTGGTGTTGGGCAGACGACAGGGATCAGTGGGTAAAAATGTCAGATTTTTCAATAAATACATGTAGTCGGTCTCATGGGCTGAAACGGCTATGCGGGCATGTTTAAGAGCTGTAGGACTCGGCTTTCACGGGAACATTTGGCTGAAAAAGTGGATTTTGTGTTAAGGTATCTCGACCATTGTTTCACCGCAAAAACCGGATTGAAAAAACACATAGCATTTCGTCCCTAGGAAATGGCATCACCCCTGAGTCACATGCAGTAGCACAGACGCGACAGAGTAGTGACTCAAGACAAGAGTGCTTGGAGTTGCCTAGATTTTGTACCGGGTGGAAACTAAAGCCTTATTGCTGATACCACGTGATTGATTTTGCACAATTGTAGAAAGGCATTATGGGAAGGGAAAAGGAGCAAACACTGCCCCCTTTTCCTTGCCACAATACCTTTCTACCATTGTGCAAAATCACCCAGGCCTAGGCTATGCGGTATCAGCAACAAGTCTTACTGTGTCCACAGCCGCCATCACGACCATCATTTGCCATGTGGACGCCGAAGCACACCTTTGTCTATAAAGGACAGTGGTTGATTCTGTTGAACCAGAATCAACCATGAAGATCTATATCCAACAGATATGACGATATTTGATCAATGAAACTGCGACATCATCGAGCAATTCAAGAATATTTACCTCATTCTACCGGCAGCACCCACAGCGTGGTCGGGCAGACGATGTGTGTGAAATGTCGAAGGTCGTGGATTAACCCAGAGCGGTGTAGAGGGCGCTGTTTAAAATGGACCGCTCACGTGTGTAGCTGGCCGGCAAAAGCTCGAGCGGCAGTTGATCGCGCGGCGCTTGCGATCCAGTCAGCGCGAAATCGCCTCACTGTATATTGTGTGGGAACCACTGCCTGTGTTGTTTGCAGTTGGTGTCAGCTGGATCACCGCTGTTGAATTATGTCAGTGTCTTTAGCTTTAGCGGTATATTTGATTGGAGTGTGGTAGGTCGTGAGGTGGTTCTCGAATCCCACTGATGTTCCTGATGCCAGTCGTTGGGCTTTAGTGCTCGTCGCGACGACACCATTTTGGAAGTAAAACGGCAACTGGCGTTAGGCCCACCACCGGTTATCTGTATCAGTATCCGGCAAAGCATCCAGAGAGGACACACCACATCAACTGTTCGCTTCGTGGAGCTAGTCATCAACGTGAGAAGACGTGGACTTGGCAAGCCTACTTAGTACTTGGTCAAGGGGTGGTCCATCAATCAGCGTCACCATTCCAATAGCGTAACCCAGGTGAATTGGTCATCTCACAGTCACACGGACCTGAACCCACCGTAGAGGCCTGACTCCATCGGCGGTCCGCTCCGTCTACCAGCTCGATACCCCATCGTCGTCGTCGCCCCCGACAGAAATTAAACATGCGGTGGCGGGAATTTAGACATCCCCTTCTTTTCCTCATGCTCGTCAGCTCGCTTTCGGGCCAGCTCCGAGCGGCAACCTCATCCGCGGGTGGTGGTGGCTCCAAGAGCCCCAGCAGCTCCTCCGATTCCGGAGACGGCCTGACCAGTCTGTTTATCGGGAGCACCATGTCCATGACTGGGGGGACGTGGGACGGCGGGCAAGCCGGTCTGCCCGCGGCTCTGATGGCCCTGGAGGATGTCAACAACCGATCGGACATCCTACCAGGGTATCAGCTGGAACTTACCTGGGAAAATAGTGAGGTAAGCACAGACGCTTCCCCCCTACTTACAAATTTTGGGGTTTGTTTTGATTTTGTGTTTTTTAGGACAGAAAATGTGCACAAAAGATTTTCAGTTTTTTCTAAATTGGTTCTTTCCCTGTTACATTTTTTACTTCTAATCTGCTGAAATAGTGATAGTCAAAGTTGGGAAGAGTTCCAGGAAAGAGTCCCATATACAAATGCCAGTAATTATCCCCTGTAGTGACCTATTAGCGATCAGAAAGCAAAAACGTGTTCAGAAATTTAGTTCAATTTAGATGGGGAAAAAACCAAGTCGTTAACTTACATACTTTTGTAGAAAACACAATTTTTCAGATCAGTCTCATAGGATTTGTGCAAAGGGTGTCAAGAGGTGTCCGTATGTGGGACTCTTTCCTCTAAGTTTAAGTAACCAAAACTTAAGTTATGATGTATACCATGATCTATCCCATACGTTAGTAAGTACCCTTTCCTGAGCAGGAAAGAACACCTTTCTGCTCGGAGATCATTTTTCATGGGAGTATCAAGGTATAATCTCCTGAGAGATGAAATCTTTGAAATACCTCAGGTTGACACTGCCCCAAAATAGAAATGCAACATGGCGAGGAAGCAACCTGTTCTTGTGCAGATGAACCTATTCTGGCACATTCTCTTTTTAGGGGAGTTGTTTAATTGGACTCATTTTGTTCACAAAGTTTTATTAGCATATACCTTTATACTGAACAAGATGTTTTGCCAACCTTTCATGAGTGGGGTATTTTAGGGCCAGCTTATTTCACATGGATCCGAATCTTGATCAGTGGTCCCTCATTGGTTCACTGACACCAGAACCCCCCTTATGGATAGAGTAAACCATCATTGGATCACTTATTGAGATCCAGATCCATGTGAAACAAACAGGCCCAGAGTCTCTGCAGAATGTCTCCAATTTGCCGTTGTACCGGTAATACCAAACAAGCAAGTGATAAGAGTGCAATTTGTGTGCAGTCAAAAAACTGTGTGATAATTTTTTTTTTTTACCATTGGGTACGATAAGATATCATTCACATTTTGGTTGTGTATTGATTCAGCGGTCATCAGGCTGCCACGCAGAAGCTCGGACACAACTAGATTTCAAGTACATGCACAGTGGCTAGGGATGATGGTTCATTACATTAACAAACGACGCAAATCATTCATTTTAACTGATGACTAATTACTGTTGAAACATATTCACTGCTAGGCCTCTTGCCTATGGTTAGGCCTACATACATGTATCACATTACTAATTGAAGTCCAAGTGGACATCTTTTTCTATTTCAGTTCGTGGCTTCCACTATGTACCTTATCACCGGCCTCTTGAGCAATGTTTGCTTTGCTGATGTTACATTGAACTCCTTAGAAATGACTGAATCATCTGCTCAATGTAATTTTTGGATGAAATATTACGGTATTCGTGAATTGCTAGCAATGAAATGAAGCTGATCAGAATTTACTCAGTAAAATTTGCAGCAGAGTATGACATCTTTAACAGTGAAAATGGCTTTGGCATTTTGTAAATTTGGAGGCATGGAGCGACTTCTGCCATGCAATAGATCGTTTGTTGAAAAAGATAAAACTGGCAGTTGTTGTTTTTACCACCTTTCTCGTTGCTGACCAACTTTCTGATGGAAGAGAAATTGAAGAGTGCCTTTAAACCCCAAGTTTGGACCTGACCCGATAGTTCCAATGTACATATTGTACATGTGGCTCTCCTGTGATCAATATGATTGATATTAAACTGTTGGTTGGGTACACTGGACTTTGGTATTATAATTTAGCTGCAACAGTATTTGTTTCTGTTTTGTGCCTCATTACTGGTACCATCGACTTTGGCCGAGATGAGGCTTTTTAAAGTGAAGCGCATTTACATGCATTGCGACTCTTCTCAATAAAAAAAAAATGAAAAGCGTATATTTGTAATTGGAACTTCATATTAACATTTATTGAAACTTTAAAACAGTATTTATTTACACGTTAACACGTGAAAGAATAACATTTAGGTAAAGGGTGAAGCATAGATTTGCTTTTGTACCCTAATCTATTGACAGACATACATATTATAATATAGGACAATACAAGACATGAACCTGTTTTTGGCAATGATACACATATGGACAAACACTTGTGGTGCTTGGTTGAATCTTAAATGAAAGTGTTTGAGAAAAATGGTGGAATGTTTATGTTACATCGTGCAAGAATGGATTTGTTAGCCTGCTAGAACAGTAGCACAGAACGGCTCAGGATGCCATGTATGAAGACACCAGGGTTGGCTGATTGAAATCACAGTTTAAATCAAACGATTTTTTTTTCTGTTAAATATTTTGAAAAAAGGCAAAGAATGTTTTAATTTCTAAACTCTGTTCAACTGATTGGTTTCTTTGTGCAGGTTTTGCACATTTTAAAATGTGCAAATCCCATCTGTGAGCCTCTCAGTTCCCAGTATTGATAAAATGTATGAGTGCACGTGTTACACACAGTCTGGGTTGGCAGGATTTTATATTCAATTCTGTCCACTTGTTTCAATTTAAATCAGCTCTTTGGATTCAGTAAATGAATTTGATGTGAAGGATTTATAATCATGATTTAATTTCACTTCATTTAAATTGCCCACTTCAGAGTTTGACATTGTGAAACGTCAGTGTACATCAACCTTTTGTCTCTACAAGCACACATGTATTTTATTGAAATTAGAAATGTTGGTCATTATGCAGTGAAACTAAAACCAGTAACAACATGCCCTTAATAAAGTGAGTTTTAAATCAAGCCTAAGTCATTGCTCCATTAATCACAAAAGGAGCTGGATCACGAACAAAACAAGACTGCTTTCTGGACATATTAGCGCAAGATAAAATACCAACATATTGTACATGTACCTACGCATAGCATATAAAATAAATGCATGCACAACATGTGGTTGATGGCATGTTTATCACTCAGTAGTTATTTGAGACACGTAGAAGTGCCCTATTACAAATTTTTTATGAACTCTAGTTTTGGGAAAACTTAGAGTTTGGTTTAAACCTGGTATGCACTTTATCCTTGGCACATGTACCGCACGGGTACCTGTCTCTAACGGGAGTGTCTTCTCTGCAGGTACATGCACCAGTAGGTGCTATACTGCATGCATTGCACTGGGTTTAGACAGGATTCAAGGTGGTTTGTGAATGAAGTCAGTTACATGTACTTGATTTAAATTGTTTGTTTCAAATCCAAATTTGTTTTATTTTGTAGCAAAAGAGATAAATGGAAGAAAATCAATACACATACAGCCGATTTGCTTGCTTTGGAAAAGATAATTGAGCCAACTTGTCTCCAATTTTCATAAAAATAAAAAATCCAATTTAAATGAAAAAATCGGAAGGAAACTCGGTGAAAATACCTAGTTTTTCTTGAACCATGAACACTGTTTTAAGCTTAATTTTTGATGGATGATTTCCTTGACTGTTCCTCTTCATTTTCATACAGATAACCCTTATCCCCCAAACTGCCTTTTTCCCCTATTAAAAGGGGTAACCTTGTGTGGACCCCACTTACATATAGTCCACACAAGGTTCACACACCCTGCATTATGTGCCCACAGACTCCACACTAGGCATGTAAAGTTTGTACACCCATCTGGATATATGACATATGCACTGTGTGTGTCACAAATTCCACATAAATGTCTGGAACCAGCATAAATTGTCAAACACGTAGCACTTTTAACAGCGAACATTTTGAATAGTGCCAATATGACAATTTTGTACCAATAGCAAAGTGTTCAAAATGCTCAAACTCACTTAAAAGTGCCAACGTAGAAAAATGTTTTTATTATTGTGAACAAGTAGGGAGTCTGTGAGTCATTTACAAAGGCCAGGTCAAATTAACGAGATGATAATGAACGTCAACAAAGTTTGCACTGACTTCCTATATAAATGTATCACAGTGCCTACCTTTCCTGTACTCTACGGTGCATGTTCCTCCAATTCCTTGCCCGCTACACTCTATTTCCTCAACTAATAAACAACCTCGGCAAATTCCACATGCGCCTGCTCTCATGTTTGTTTGCAGCAAACATAAGAAAGAAATTTATATCCTCAATATTTCTGTGGCCCCTACGCGGCACGTTGCGCGCAACACTACGGGTGCACAGAACGGAGGCAGATGCTACTGGGAATGGACTCACCACACTCCCCCCCCCTTCGCTCAGAGTGCCTTGCTGTAACAAGGAAATGAAGCAATTTGTCAAAACCAACCTAATTTGTCGCATTTTGTCGGGACGCAGGCAAATGCGCTCCCTCTCATCATTCGGCCGAGCCGATTGAACAGCCCGGTTTCTTGGGGATTTCCGCTGTACATGTAAGTGGCTCACAGTTTTTAAAGAGATGTGTCCACCCACTTTGCTGCCTTGGTAGATGTCCAAAAATTCCTTGATAATTAGTTTGTAGACACATGTTGTCATTGAAATATTTGAGCATTAAGGTTACAAATAACCTAACCTCCCCAAATGTACAGTGTTTTAGGTATAAGTGATTTTAGATTAGTAATTTCAGGGTTTTCAAGATGTATTTTTTTTTTGCGTTGGGG